TTTTGCAAAATATGACTAAAAACCTTTACTCATTGCTATTTGGAGCTACTAAAAAGTTTTTAGTTACTAATTACGTAATTACGAGTGTTTAGTTCTACTATCGTTTTAATGCCAAAAATAAAACGTTCATGAAAATAGACAAATAAATATGAAATATTTTAGTAAAAACAAAGGGACAATTGAAAATAAAGCAATAATTTTATTAAAGTAGATTGACAAATTTTCGTCTGTTTTAATGTAATTAGGGATGCTCATTTATAGGTTTAGTTCTTAATGGAAAAGGTATAAAAGAAAAGCAATATTTATATAAATTGGTTTATTAAAAGCTAATAATTTAAAATACAAAATTTAATACGATAGTTTATGTGTACATATGTTCTATAATCTATGTGGTTGAGAAATTTATTTAATTTAAATCACCAATTTTAAAATGGGAAGTACAGTGGTGAATTTGCCCCATACTAAGTCAAACTTACCCTCTAAAGCTGACCTTAATTTAAAACATTTCAAATTTAGGAAAACTAAATTAAAAAAATTTAGAGATAACAGAAAATATGTGTAATTCAATTTAAATGGAGCAAATTCCTCACAATTCTCTGGCTATGGCTTGCAAACCAAATTGGTTGTTTAAAAAATAAAAAAAGCATTCAACACTATAATAAAATACAACAATTATAATATAATAGATAGCTACTTAGTTGAATAACTTTTACTTATTTGTTATCAAGAACAAACTCCATTTCCCGTTCGATCCCCACGAATTTCAGTTGTTCAGTAGGACCATACCTAAAATATTGTTTTTATTATTTAACAACGCCTTTTCTACCCACAAAAAAGTTAATAAGAACCTGTAGTCAAAGAAGAGTTCTTCTCCAGGTTGAATTGCTCGTTTTGCAAATATTCCTATCCTGTGGTCCCCATTAACCATCATTACTTTGGCATAACAATTTGGATTTATTGAGTGATTTGCAAAACGAATTTTATTTCCTTTACGTGTAGCATCAACAACAAAATCTAAAATAAAAACTTATTGAGTCCATTATATAACAGAGTTGTTCATTTTTAAAAGCCTACGGTTTCAATTGAAGTCTTAATGTATCGCAAAAAAAAATATTAACTTTACTATTATGCATTTTAGTATTTACTGGTTCAAATCAAGCATTAACAAGATATGCACTTACCGTTATTGAGATTAAATAAAAAGCTACACATATATTTATCATAGACTTTCCCTCGTCGATCTGCTTCGTCTTGGGAAATAATTTCGCCACAGTATTCTGAAATAAATTCGTTCTTTTGCGCGCTATCCTTTAGGAATATTCCCCAACCTGCCACGTCCGAAGGCGCCATCAAAAGATGTTTATCTGTAACATATACAAGCCTCTTAACGATAAGTCATTTTAATTAAAAAACAAAATTACTTACGAAGTCCTCGTTGAACGCTAACGTTCTTGCAAGTAATTTTTGTGACATCAAACTGATCAGCACCGCAAGTTTGGCAAAGATCTGGATCGCATTCTCGAACAGCAAGATAACAGGGGCACTGCTTCGTGTTGCATTGTGCCTTACAACGGCATCCAGGAAAACGATTTTGACCTAAACAACAAATTGGAGAAAAGAAATCACGACAGGTTCTTAGAAATCTGCCATCTACATACAGTCAGAGCTGCACTGACAAAATTTCTCACAGAAATTTTGTGCACCAATACAGGGACACATGGCGTCACAGGGCTGTCCTGGGTGATCGCAGGGAGTGAAATTGTATACGTGGTTGCTGCTAGAATCTTTCTTCAATTGGATTTTTCTACAGTACATAGACCACAGTCGATGTTTTTTCTTCTTCTTTCTAGGAGGGGTATAATCTCTCATCGATTCCTCAGTAGGAATATGAGCTGCTTCTTTTTGGGCAAAATGATAAACCTGAAAACAAACAATTTCATAACTGTACCTTAAATAATAGGTAATTAAAAAATCTAACAGTGAAATTACCTGTTGACATGTTTTGGTGAGCATCATTTGTGCGAGAGCGCAATAGTTGTTGAGAAAGACTTTGTGCAAAGCTCTGAAAAGACTTTGATCGGCCCCCGTCCATTCGCGATGGTCGTTTTCACCCATAAGTCCTAAAAGACTGAAAGAAGTGGTCGTGGACACAGGGTCGGCATCTGTAGAATCTGTTGAAGGAGTCTCATTGTCAATTTTACGATTAAAATCTGTAATATCACACAAAATTGGCTCATTAAATAATCCCGTTGTTTTCAAAGACCATAAATCTTCTCTAAATTAAGCAAAATTATGTAGAAGCGATTGTTTATGAATGAAGCAATGGTCCATGAGCCAAAAAAGATGTGGGACAAAGAACAAAAGTACATTTTTAGGGGAACAGTTAATACTGTTAATATTGTTTAAGAAATAAAAGAAATTTAAAAAATGTACAGAAGTATGTTCTAAAGCAATAAGCGATAAAACCAAGATAACTTATAGGTTTAAATTCTATATACCTGTTAGTAAAAAAAAAACAGTTATAAGAGACGCTGTATCATTAATATAAAAGTAGTAAAATATTGGTAATTTAAATTCAAAATTTGACCTAAATACAGTAACGTTTGAGAAATTATGATATGATCCTTTTGCGTTGAATTATGAAACAGCAATAAATTTAAATACATTTTACCCTTATTATTACTGTCATTGCTGTCTTCTGAACTAGCCTCATTGCCTGAGTCCACAGATTGCTGCTTGCACACCTTTCTTGGCATTGTAGTCGATTTACCTCCTTCAGTGATCACAAGAGCTTCTTTTGATATTTTTTCTTTATTCTTGAGGGCTTCATGTTCTTCCTGTTCTTGTTCTCTTTTTGCGGCCAATTTTTCTTTAATTCCATCCTGCAAATATCAAAATTATTCTCGAATTTTAATTTATGTTCAAGCAAAAATGTAGAAAGTAAATTACCAAAAGCATGTAACAATCTGGTCCACAAGGATCTGTGAATGGTTTTAAATCAGGGCCTCTGCGTTTTAAATTTGGACCAGGGTGACAAGCTTGAAGCCCTAACAAAATTTTAAATGATTATAATAACAACAAATATATAATCAAATTAAGAAATTGTCATTTGATAAAACAAAATTAAGTTAAAAGAAAACACTAATGAAAGCTATTTTTAATCCTAAATATGACATGAATATGGTATGTAAAATGTAATGATAATGAATAGTTTAAATTAAATTCTCCAAAAATTGCAAAACATATGAATGAATGCTATCACTACGATTTCTTTTTAGTAATATGGTATGAGGTGTGATACTGTGCTTTCATGAATGACAGCATTTTACCTCCATGTCCTCAATTGCAGCATAGAAAATAATGTGCTTAACCAATTTTAATTATTTTCTAACAAAATAATTAACTATTCAATAATATTAAATAGGTACTCGCACAATTAGTCTTCTTTAATTCCTTTGAAGAAAACCGTAATATAATTGTATAATATTAAAATAAATGAAAACAAAAGTATTTCTTACTATGCAAAAAGCAGTCGTATTTAAAACAACGCCTGCAAAACAGGGTATGAAAAGAATGCATTGTTTGTTCTCTAGGGACAGATTCTGCCATTGGTCCATCAATATTGGGAGTACACTCAGGAGGAAGAGCATTTGGGTCCAAACGTTCAGTCAGTTCAATATATCTGCAATTTTATTTTATAAAGCATAATCAATCTGCAGTCTAGGAGTAAAAATAAAATCCTACTTTTCTCTAAGTTGGTCTGCTCTTCCTTTATCAGGAAACTGAGACGAGATGGCTTGAAAGATCATAAAACAAGGAAATTCCTCTTCAACTTTTTTATTATCCTCTTTTTCTTTTTTCTCTTTTGCAGTCTCCTTTTTTTCAGATTTGTCCTTCTCTTGATATTGCATCAGAGCATGGACCAAGTCCACAAACAGCTCATCGTCCATAAAGCCAGTTTCCCTGTCTCCATGAACTTTGCCATCATAATTTTTTATTAATTCTTCAATAAATGTCCCATCCTGATCAAGGATTTCATCTCCCATATATGGAATATTATGGAGTACTGTTTCATCTTCAACCATGAAATTCTGCTGAATTGGGGCCCATGTGTACATTGTTGGAATAGGAGTTACAGCATTAATTACTTTGATATGTGCCACTTGAATATCACCTTTAATTTTAATGAGTATGGCAAGACACAAACATGTATAATATTTAAGCTTTTACCTTCATTTCCTACAACCTCTGCCTTTTTCATACATGAGACATGAGGGGGTGGGTCTGGAGTTGGTACCCACGTAGCCTTACATTCCGTCCATCGTTTTTGCTCCTCTATTATAATTTCCGTCATTTTTAAACGATTTTGATTCCATGACACCTTTACATCATCAGCACGTTTAAAACGTTTAATTTGCCTCAATCGCATATACTCTTGTTTAACACGCTTTTTCCATTCTGTTGTCACTTTCAGTTTACTAGACATGATAAGATTTTATACACTTTTTTTTCCTATCACTGCCTTTCACATCTACAATGTAAATTAACTAATAAGACAATTAATTTAAAAATAAAATATAATTATAACTATTTTAATAACGTTTCAGACTGTCAGACTGTAAACATTTTAAAAATAATACGGAGCTTATTGTACCTAATCGACCTATCTATGGTAGAGAGTGTCTCCCGCGCCATAATCCGACCATATTTGTTTAGTGTCTACTAAGCATGTTTATCTGTAGCATTCCCCATTCCTATAAATTTTAAATTTAATATCCTTTGGGTGTTCCATCAATCTACTTCAAATTGTATCATATCCTTAATAAGTAGTAGTATCGTTAATTCAACTATTTTTAATTTTAGTAAGTTAGTCAAAAATAATTATCATCTTAATAATAAACAAAAACATATACTCTAAAACTCAGATTAAAAATAAAATTATCTCACATGATAAACATAATTACCGCTTAATACAGAAACCTACTCTTTAAATCTCCCGCCTTTCCTATTACATCCTCTCCCATATTCTCTATCCATTCTTTTTTTCAAGATCTCTTTAAAAATACTCACTTCCTTGCCCTTTCCACGTATCATCTGCCTGTGCTCATTTAAATTGTTATTTATCATACCTTCATCCAATACATATCTCAAATTTTATTTTCCCTTCCACGAACCTTATATTTTTCTGCTCCTCTTTCATCCTGTACCTACTCCCATTACATTAACTCTAGCTCTAGCTCTTACTGCATATCCTTATTCTTATTCAAAAACTCAGGTATTACGTAATATTGCAAATCTTCCCATATCCAACCCCTCAACATTTTAATTTTTCCACTCTATTCCCTTTGAGCCGATCCGCTGCGGAAAAAAATTGAAAAGTTTCAAAAATTTTGGTTATTTTCCTTAAAAATTAAATTTTCTCCTATTCGTAAAGGAACGAAACAACTATTGGTGACAGAATTTCTGAGCAATCTGTAAATATTGAATTTTCGATTTTAAAAAATAACACTTGCCCAAAACTTCCGACGTCCCTAACTCTGCAAGAGAATTTCGTAGGTGGGCGCTTTCGGCCTCGACGAGATGCGTAGGGTCTCTAGAAAATTTTGATATCACTCCCATTGAAATCTCACTTTCCGATTCGAAAATATGAGCGATCTTATGGACTCAGAAAAACGCTAAAATGAAAAATAGCGTCAATTACGTGAATTCGATTGGCGCTAGCTCAGGCCGGGAATGTCATAACTCAAAGCGGTTTTTGTTAAAAATTTCCCCCATGTATAGGGCTTCCAACGATCTATATTTCGAACGCATCGGACGTCCAGGTGAGGAGCTATGACTTTTCAACTGCGGCCATGTTCCTGAACGCAAAATTTTCAAATTTGACGTTTCCTAGCCTGTAGCTCGGAAACGGTAGAACTTGTCGGAAAAATTCTTTCACAGACGAATGCCCCGGCTCAGTGTGAACATTATAGGAAATGTGCGGTCGAAATCTGTGGCGATCTAAAATTCAAAATTTTCAAAATTTTTCATATTTTATTTTCTTTCGAAATTTAGTTTCTTCTGTTCGCGACGATGCGGGTCAACCGTTGGTGCAAGAATTTTTGCTCTATCTTCAATAGTTCGCCAGATATGTTCTCCTAAATATTGAATTTTTGATTTTAAAAAATAACACTTGCCCAAAACTTCCGACGGCCGTAACTCTGGAAGGGAATTTCGTAGGTGGGCGCTTTCGGCCTCGACGTGGTGCGCAGGGTCTCTAGAAAATTTTGATATCACTCCTATGAAATCGGACTTTCCGATTCGAAAATATGAGCGATCTTATCGACTCAGAAAAACGCTAAAATGAAAAATAGCGTAACTTACGTGAATTCGATTGTCGCTAGCGAAGGCCGAGAATGTCATAATTCAAAGCGGTTTGTCAAAAATTTCCCCTCTGTATAGGGCTTCCAACGATCTATATTTCGAACGCATCGGATGTCCAGGTGAGGAGCTATGATTTATCAACGGCGGCCATGTTCCTGAACGCAAAATTTTCAAATTTGACGTTTCCTAGCCTGTAGCTCGAAAACGGCAGGACTTATCGGAAATATTCATTCACAAACGAATGCCCCGGCTCAGTGTGAACATTATAGGAAATGTGCGGTCGAAATCTGTGGCGATCTAAAATTCAAAATTTTCAAAATTTTTCATATTTTTATTATTTCTACCTACTTAATATATTGTTTATTCGAGAATACTATTGACTTTCAAGTAAAAATGGTATTTCTGTTAGACCAATTGTGTTTTCTCGTTTTATTTTTGGTGAATAATTACAGTTGTAATATTTGCTGTATGTTCAGTTGTCTACACATATATTATATTACAAATTGTAGTAAAATTGTTAAAAAAAGACATAAATTGCATTGTATCTGCGCCCACATGAGAAAAATATAATCTAAAGATGAAAATCTATCAACCTACTCCAATGAAACTGGAATGGTAGCCTAATTATAACTATTTTCTTAGTTGTCCCGGCGCCTCCGCCAAAATTTTCAACAAAATTTAAATAAGTTAGTGTTGTTAATGTTTGTGTGTCATTGTGAATATGTTATTTTCGACATTGAAAACGATGGTTAACAATAAAAATTAACTAATTACTCGTAATTAGGAACCAAATGCGTCTTCAGCAGCTCCAAATAAAAATGTGCAAGGGTTTTCAACAAAATCTGGAAGAATATGTTTTTAAAAATATTACTATATATGTAATTTCTACATAATATTTTGTGGTTTGTTCGAGAATAGTGTTGTTTCATATAAAAAAGTTATTTGCATGAGAAAAATCGTATTGTAGCTTTCTTTAAAATTAAATTATTAGAATTGTAATATTTGATGTATGGTGGGTTGTCTATATAAGTACTTATTGTATTATGAATTGTATTTTAAAAGAAACATCTAAATTTGCATTTCCAACTGCATCTAAATGATGGGAATCTATTTTAAAGATGGAACTTCATCAAGTTACCTCAATTGAACCGGAATTATAACCTAATTAAAGGTCCTTTTTTAATTATCCCGGCGCCTCCACCAAAATTTACAATAAAATGTAAATGAATCATTGTTTATGTTTGTATACTGTTATGAATACCTTATTTTCGACATTAAAACGATACTTAATAATATGAATTAACTACCCATTCGTTATTAGTAACCAAATACGTTTTTAGCAGTTCCAAATACAAATGTGCGAGAGCTTTCAACCAAATTTTTAAGATGTCTTTAAAAATATTATTAATAACTAATTATTTCTACCTACTTAATATATTGTTTATTCGAGAATACTATTGACTTTCAAGTAAAAATGGTATTTCTGTTAGACCAATTGTGTTTTCTCGTTTTATTTTTGGTGAATAATTACAGTTGTAATATTTGCTGTATGTTCAGTTGTCTACACATATATTATATTACAAATTGTAGTAAAATTGTTAAAAAAAGACATAAATTGCATTGTATCTGCGCCCACATGAGAAAAATATAATCTAAAGATGAAAATCTATCAACCTACTCCAATGAAACTGGAATGGTAGCCTAATTATAACTATTTTCTTAGTTGTCCCGGCGCCTCCGCCAAAATTTTCAACAAAATTTAAATAAGTTAGTGTTGTTAATGTTTGTGTGTCATTGTGAATATGTTATTTTCGACATTGAAAACGATGGTTAACAATAANATATTATATTAGTATGTTTTTCATTGTTTTTATCTCCTTTTCGTATAATTGTCCCTTGGGGATTTAAAAAAACACAATAAGTGGTACAAATAGAATAGTTCATAAAAAATACTTTGTTTTTACTAACTAACTGACTAATAGTCATTAGTTATGAGTTTTTAGTTAGTTTTCATTGTAAACTATCGTTTAAATGTCGAAAATAAGACAGTCATAAAATTATACGAACATTATTAATAATTATTGAAGAAAATATTAAAAATTTTGGTGAAGGCGCCGGGTCAATTTAAAAGAACGACTGTAACTTAGCTGCAGTGCAGGTTTTATTAATGTTAATTGATGAATTTTCATCTTAAATTGTATTCTTTTCGTGTAGACGCAGATATAATGCAATTTATGTCTTGTTTTTTAACGATTGTACTACAATTTGTAATATAAAATAGATGCACACAACCCAACATACAGCAAATATTACAACTTTAATAATTTAGCTATAAAAACTGTTTAAGGTGGAAAATGTTTTTTCGCTTAAGAAAAAGTCAATATTATTCTCCAATAAAACTCTAAATATTATGTAGAAATAAATATTTTGCAAAATATGACTAAAAACCTTTACTCATTGCTATTTGGAGCTACTAAAAAGTTTTTAGTTACTAATTACGTAATTACGTTCTCGTTTTATTTTTGGTGAATAATTACAGTTGTAA